ATTTCTATGCAGATCCAGTAAAGTCAAAATAGGGTTACTTAAATCACCTGATAAAAAATATTTTATTTTTTTCATACTGCAGTACATATTGCAGAAAAACATGAAGTCAGAATATTATTGTTTTTTCCAATATCATGCATCTGGAGTTGAAATTGTAAGTTTTAGTACAGTAGAGTGTAGGATTTTTTATTAAACACGTTTTCAGCTTTTTACATACGTTAAACATATTTATCCATATTCAGACTAAAGCAGTGAATTTAATAAAGCAAAGCGGGACCTCACTCTGACATTTACCATTATTCAGAATTTTTTGAAAGTGACAGGCAAAAGAACTCTTGGCTGTGTTAGCATTTGCTTTGTGCTTGGTTATTTCCAACCATTTCTGATCATTGTGGGTGTGAGAACAAGTGAGATCAGGACACTTTCATCTTGCTTGTATGTTGTGTATGAATACACTTCATGCATGTGTTAGTTTATGGATAGCTGTTAGCTAGCAGGGGACCATTTCACAAAGCAGGTTCAACAAACTCTGAGTCTAATCCTGAACTTTGAGTTGATCTACTCTGAGATAGGAAACTCTGAGTTTCTGGTTCCAGAACAGCAGATTTGAGTTAATTTAATCAACTTGGAGAAGTTTCACCTGGACTTAAGCTCGTGCACCCCAACTATAAAAACCCAGCATCAATGGAGCCCTGATTCGAAGAGTCACCATGGCAACGGGGAAGTGGAGGGCTGCGTTTTTCACCCACTAGAATTAGAAGTCTTAATGCGCTCATACGGTGGGTTTGAACACGTTTTTAAAAAGAAGTGCAACACCGCTGCAGCTGCAACACAGAGGGAGACGGCGTGGAGAACATTGCTGCTCGGGTCAACGCGTAAGTTTAAATGTCGTCCTTTGCAATCACATTAATATTACAGGGAAACTGCTGGAATGGTAGCCCATTAATTTATTTCATTTAGGTGCAATCTGGTGGGGGAGAAGCGCACTTGGCAGCAGCTTAAGATGAAACATAAAAACATTGTTCAAGTCTGAGGTTGCAGTATAATGTCATTAACAGAATATAATTTAAAATTAATTTAACACATCTCTACATCATTCATCTGCAGTCCTGTGGAACTCCTCCTTGATGGCTCTGACAGGTTTATGTCCAAAGATGGTAAAAACCGTTTCATGGCATGGCCACTTCTTCTGGACAAAAATATTTATTACTTTTGTGTAAGCTGCTAAGTTGCTGTCGCTTACTCTGCAGCGGCGGAGTCACAAGAAGTCTGGGGTCAGAGCGCCCCCTGCCATGAGGCCAGAGAACTGCCTGCCACCTAGAATCTCTTCTCAGCCGCTTATGATCGCTCAGCACACGAAATACGTTACAAACATACAGCTGGTAACAAAAACCCACTGTATATTATTATATACATCAGCTGAACTATGGAAAATCAGTTCATGTATTAAATGTGTTTGAACCATTTTATTGGCGACATACAGACAGCAGTACGCTGTCACTGCATGACAGCCAGCTCAGATAGCGAGGGATTGCGCAATCCAAGGTGAGGCTCAGCTCGCCGTTGCCTCACCGGCTTCTCTTCCAAGCATTTGAAAGGGAAATTGTGAAAGTTCCGCGATTTTGAATAAAAAAGAAAAAAATCATCAAAATTGGAAAGGCTATATGAAAAAAGAAATGCTTTATAGTACAAATTTCTGGATAAATATAACCATTTAAATTATTTTATTATTAGATTTTTTTTCTTTCCCTGACTGCACGTCACTGATGGACTGTGACGTGAAACGGTACCGCTCCAACAAGATGACTGTGTGGAAATGCTAGAACATCTATGAGCAGTCTGATAACCATCTCCAGAGGAATATTTAATTCTTTGCGCAATAATGCTGCAACTTCATCCACGGGATCGTTATGAACAGGACATGTTAAAGGAAAAACTTGCATCCCTCTGTGTCGAATGGACTTGTAATACAGCCTACTTACTCTGATTTTTTTTTTTTAATGATGTTTGACAGACGGCAGAACTAGGCTACCCCAAAACTCGCCTGCTGACTGAATGAATTAATGAGGAAATCAAATAGTGTGTGTGGCTGAAAGGGGGCGGAGACAGAGAGAAACTTGAGGTTCATCGAGACAAACCTGGTCCTGACCAGGTTAGGTTCATAGAGTCTATTACTACGGGAACTGACCAAGGTCTTAAGTTAACTCTCTCTGTGAAACAGGCTAAAGTTACCCCTCTGTCTCTGGTTTGAGTTACCTTCCTTTGTGAAAAGGAAAACTCAGAGTTTCCCTCATTTTGCAGTTAACAGACTCAGAGTTTTCACTAAACAAGCTTTGTGAAACGGTCCCCAGGTCTACAGGTCGCTCTTCTTGTGCTGTTGACAGTAATCAGACAGTCTAAAGGTCAGTTCCCTACAGATGTGCATACAGAGGAGGACATGATGCCACCAGTCTGCTGCTGGCACTTTGTCCCTGTGGAACTGCAACTAAAAAAAGTCCCCTGCAGCCCAAAAAGCATTTTCCCCTTAGAACTCGGTTACAAAAGCGATGTCTGTAAAACTGTGGACAGGACGACAACAGTGAACCAAGAAAACAAGAAATTATTTGATTTGAAATAGATCTCTAAACGGCTTCGTTGATGTCAGCTGCACAGGGTTTGGTGCTGAGGCTGTTCATTGCAGATTTCTGTTTTGTGAATCTCCAGATGGATCGTTCAGGCCATGAAACATGAGCTGAAGATCCGGGCAGGAGACATGCCACCACAGGACATCTACCAGCTGTCCCCCAGCGACATCAAGCAGCTCTTGCTGGACGTGCTACAGCCGCAACACACCGGCAGGTACACTGACACACACTATCAAGAGTATTATCCATGCTTTCTCCCTCCTTTCAACTCACAGATCTGCCTTTGAAGACACCATGTCATTATGTTAATGCATTTACTTCTTGTGTAATCTTTTTTGTTTTAATTATTTTATCTTCCGTCTTGTCGACGTGCATATCTTATTATCTGCCACTGCCACAACCCAATTTCCCCTTCGAAATTATTAAACTTTTATCTTATCTCATCAGATCTAATACACACTGAATCATAGACAGTTTCCTTTTGTACGACAGCTATCGTCATTATATTTTGCTTGCTGCTAGGACCCGGTTCAGCAATTTCTTGCTCATTTTGCCTCAGGTCTTGGCTGAACAGGCGTCAGATCGACGGCTCTCTGAACAGGACCCCGCTGGGCTTCTATGATCGTGTGTGGCAGATCCTGGAGAGGACTCCCAATGGTATTGTGGTGGCCGGGAATCACCTCCCTCAGGTACCGGTGCAGGATAAATACTCTGACACATGCTGGTTAAAAGTGTATTGGGTGTTTGTTTAATGGAAAATGTTGTTAGAGTATGTAGAAAACAGTGACGTCAGGTAAGACAGATGATGTGAGGAGAGCTGCCCACGCCATGTTTTTCCATGACTTCATTATTCTTTTTAAAAACACTGACAAATCATCTAATTTTACTTCAAAGTTTACACAACTTACCTGCAGTTTCTATGCATCTCCCATAATCTATTAGTGTCACAGTAGATATACAGTGCATCATTTTTTTACAAGCCACAAACACACAAAGAGCATCTATAGTCATCCAGCAGCCAACATGTTTGTTCTCTCTCCTTCAAACCTCTTTTTGGAATCTTCCCATCTCTCCGCAGCAACCCTCACTCTCTGACATGACCATGTATGAGATGAACTTCTCCCTGCTGGTGGAGGACACGCTGAAGAACATTGTCCTGCCTGAGTACAGACAAATCATAGTAGAGGTAAATGAAAGAGAATCAAATGACTGAGGCTAATCTAGATCAAATTACATAGATTTTTAATTAAAATGACAATGTTTCAAACTGATTACAATCTTCCCTGTTGGTGTTAACGGTTCTGTCTCCCCTCTCTCCACCTTGTGAGCAGTTGCTGATGGTGGTGTCCATAGTGCTGGAGAGAAACCCAGAGCTCGAGTTCAGTGACAAAGTGGTTCTGGACGGTCTGGTGAAGGAAGCCTTCAATGATTTCCAGAGAGACCGCAGCCGCTTCGAAGGAATGGAGAAGCAGGTAGAGTGGCTTCCAACAGGACGTCAGGTTAACTAATATTAAAGCATTTTCTCCTTTGAACGTGACCTGAGTGCCTGACTCAAAATTAGAAAGTCACCTTGCTAAATTGATGTTCTGAAAAACTTTGATCTTTTGTTCCAGCCATACTCTGATCATTTAACTGAAGGGCTACTTCAACTAATTTGTGGTTAAAAGGCTAGGACTGCCATTTTGCAATTCATTAGAGCCTTATTAGATTTATGAGATGTAATCCAGCTGGAATGCTTTTCTGCGTGTGGCATCTCATTCTCAAACAGCAAATTCATCTCTGAACACTCATTGGTTACTGATTGTTTTATTATTTGTCCCTCACTGTGTTTGTCCCAGGACGACATGGAGGCGTTCTACAACACGCCGCCGGTGGGAAAGAGAGGCACGTCCAGCTACCTGACCAAGGCTGTGATGATCCAGCTGCTGCAGGGCGACGTCAAGCCCTGCAAGGATGACCCGTGCTCTGTTAGTTAGATTTACAGCACTTCAACCCCTAATCGAGCCACTGCAGCGTCGTCATCAAACAGTCTGGTGACAATCACTGGTCATTGGTCACTTGTGTTCTAAAGATAACCGCTACCCTCTCCAATCCTTATTCAGCAAGGCTCTGCCCACTCCAGCAAGCAGTTCACTTGGCACAGATTAGCAGGTCTGCAGTTTGCTCTGGGGGTTAAAATATGAATATAAAAACAAAAGGCTAATGACTAGGGGTGACAATCTCAGTGCCACTGGGTCCTTTGTTGTTTGACTTCCACACATTTTTGTTTTGTCACTGTTCAGAATCCCAACCCTACTGGTCCAAATCCAAATTAAGCTTTTAACATTACTTGTCATGTCATAATGCCTCATAGCTTGCTAATGTCGCCACAAAACTATTGAGCTGTTGTTACACTTTATCTGGATGTTGTAGATTAGTATGTCTGCTGTGTTTCAAAGGTAATATACTGTACACCCACCGAGTGCACTGTACTCATAAGCAATTAGATCCTTTGTTAAAAAGTCTCCTGGGTTTGAGTTAAAATGACACTTAGCTAAGGAACAAGTACACCGATAAGCCACAACATTAAACCACTTAAAATCCTGTAGGTCCAATTTTGGCTGGTTCTGGTGCATCCTGTGGAATGAGATGGGTGCATTGTCCACATCACTGCCGTCAGGGAGTGCCGTTGCCATGATTAGCTGTGCTTGGTCTGCAACAATGCTTAGGTTTAGCTACATGTCACAGTAACATCCACATGAATGCCACAACCCGAGGTGTCTCAGAGGAACATGCCATTGCTATGAGGGGATCACCTGTCAGTGGTTTTAATATTGTCACTAATCAGTGTTTGTTCATATAAAGTAAGAAAATAAAAACTAATTTAAAGGAAAAAGTCACACAGTTTGGGGTTAGTTTATTTTAGCATATAGCCTTAACATGCTAGCCTGACCCTGTCCACAACTACAGAAGGATATGCTCCTGAAAACAAAGGCATCATGTGTTCTCTGTAATAGAGCAAACTGTCTCTCTCCTTTTTTCTTTTTTTTTTTTTTTTTTTGGTGTTGCCCAGAATACGGTTGTAAATGTTCTCTGTTCTGGCTCTCAGGTAAAGAACTAGCACCATTTTGAACTCTGCTGAATGAACCAGACTCAGATTTAACAGTTCAATCTGTACCTCATCTCTCACCAGCAGTAACCTGTAGCTGTTACATTTAAAGTACAAGATATTTGCATCATGAGAAATGTGTTTTCAATATTGAAGCATTTGGCCTTCAACATGCATTACTGTTCACCTAGACCTGAAAGTGGTTACTTCTGCAACTATTTCATGGAAAAAATGTAGTAATATTCATTAGAATTCATGTTTGTGGGTCTTTGGCATTAGAGGGATTGACAGCCAGTGCATTTGATATATAATGTGTTTGTTTGTTTATTGAGTTATACAGTACAGTATATTATTCTACATGTCTGTTAGGTGTTTGTTGTACTGTGTTGAGTTTCTCTTTGGGGAACACTGTGTCCTCTTACCTCTATGCATGCAGAGTGTGCCGCATGACAATAGGTACTGTTTGCCATAACCATTGCAAAGCTTTCTCTGAATGGTATGAGCAACAAAATAGAGTTTTGGAGAGGCCTCTGCTTGACAATGACTACGGCTCATCTGTCCAAGTCCAAGTACTGAGCGCCCTTTAGAAATTGTTGTTTTGTTGAATGTGGGCAACAGAAAAGATTGCTGCCATCCTTAGGTAGAAATGATGAAAGACTCAATCTGACTTATTTTAAAGTGTGCCTCTCTGAATATCGTCACTGTGATGAATCTGCCCGACCTTGTCACAATGTGTTTGAGCGTGTGTGTGTGTGTGTGTGTGTGCGCGCTGTTTGTCCCTGTCGTTCAAAAGAAGTACTTTTGAATCAAAACTGTAATTTCAGAGAATAAAGTTGTGGAAACTACAAACACTTTCTCGTGTGTCACTCTGTCAGCTTTGTAAACTGAATTTGTGAATTCTTTATTTTTTATTCTTTATTAGGATCCCCACAAAGTGGTTGCTAGTCTTCCTGGGGTCCCAGGGTAAAAATAAAAATTACAGTTTACAAAACATTAAAAATACATAATAAATAGCAAACATTTGATTTATAATGCAACCTGGTACAAAGTAGTATATGGATAACAATAAATGCAAGTTGATACAACACTGTAAATATAACACCAGTGAATGAATAAATAAGTGCCACACTTGCCTCTTTTATTCTACAGCTACGTGAATATGAAGTACAGGCATTTAATTGCTTAACAAGAAGCAAAATCTCTTGTTACCGTGATAAAACTGCAGCAGAAATGGAGCGTGACGGCTACACCCCCGAGTGGTGTGTTTGGCAGTGTATCGGATCCTACCAGTTACGCCCACTCATGTTGCCCAAACCCCTTATCAATCTGCATCTTGCCACTGAGGCTGCTTGTGCTGTCTTGCAACACTGACTAACTGACTGGCAGAGAGAGGTGGAGTGGTGGGCGAGAGCCAGAGGAGAAGATAAATGAGCTCTGCCTCACATTCAATATATTCAAATCAACTCGCTTGCTGGTGAGAGGAGCTTTTTCTTGTCTTGTTGAATAAATCTCCTCTACACCATGACAAATCCTGAAGAAATTTGTTTCTCTGCATTAAGCATAGGGATCTCCAAAAGGTTTTATATTGTTGCCAATTAGTTATACCCTTTGGCATGTAAGATGAAGGGTCATGTTTTTATGTTAACTTAGAGAAAAGATATCTCCTTCAAACACTGGATTCCTCAGGGAATTCCTCTCATACAGAGATTTCAACTCAGGAGGCATACTACTATTGTATACTGGATCTACCGTAGCTCTTGACTAAATATCTCTAAATGATAGATTAAAAAACACTAAATCATATTAAAGAGCACTCTGACACAGTTCAGTGAGTTTATTCTTGATGACATGTCTCTCTGCTATTTGAGCCTCTAAAGTGATGCACAGTCAGTCCACTAGGATGCAGCAGAGTTCAAGGAATGGAATTGATGTATTCTAGGATTTTATAAGAAAGGTCTGTACGGGCGTTCTTTTTTTATCAGATGAATAACAGTGAATATTAAACGGAAGACAATTTATGACAAGTAAAATAATGCTGGATTAAATCCATTGCCTGGAAGTCTGGAACCAAAATGCAGCATGGTGTGTTTAATAATCTCCTCACGGTACTTCCCCATAATTAACACGCAGCATTTCACCTCTGAAAGCAGGTCTGTCTTCACCTTTGAATCTCACAGCTTTGTTATTTTCTGACCAAAGGGCACACAAGGTGAGCTGGCAGAGTGGCTTTGTCTTGTCAGGCTGGGAGAAAAACAACCAGGAGGGAGCTGGCAAGAGGCCCTGCTGTTTGTTTGAATGGAGATGAACAAGGAGGCGCATTAGTAACCAACAGTTGTCTGTGTAAAGATCAGGCACCTTAGTGGCCTTGCTACATGTCATGCCTGGACTATGACACATCAAGTCCCTGAACTGATTTATTAGATTACGTTATATAGATGTTAATAAAAATAAGAAGAATAAAGGTGCCATGAATCAATGAAATACCTGAAACTGTGAAGTATGTGGTTAAAGACATACATGCTCTCCAATCTCCATATTTTCTTCTTTCTTCGTTTTCTGACATGTGTCATCATATGTACAGTATATTGTACACACATCCTGCGGCACTGCCACCATCTATATCTCTGGAAGCGTGTTCTTTTCATGGACATAACCATTAGGGAGCGCAATCACAGATGAAAAACTTGTGTGGTTTCCTCTGATTGATTGCTGAAACTGAGGAAATTCCTCCCATGGCAGCCAGTGAATCATTCCAGTGTCTGCATCTCTCTCACACCTCCTGCTGTAATACAGCGGGACATCTGCCATAGTCTCCCTTGGTCTTATCTGGCTTTGAGATGTGAGTGAAGGTCAGACGGTAGATAAAATGGTACAATAATGTGTTTAGTCTGCAGGCAGCCAAACACAGGGGGATTTATGCAGCTGTGCCACAGGTGCTATTCATCCATATCATACGTACATCAATCATTGGTCATGGTAGTAGGTGGTCTTTCAGAAAAATTCTGTTTTCCCTGTTGATACTTAGTTATTGTAGTGGGCCAGTCCAGGGATGTAGTGTTGGTAAGCTGGTATGCCACTCTGTTACAGAGGCACCAGAACTTCAGCTTCATGCTCGGTAGTGAAACTATGTTAAACTGCCCTATCAAAAAATAAACAACATAGTTTTTATGAAATGACCTCCTCAAATCAAAATTTCCATTTGTCCAGTGTTTTAGTTTAGTTTATGACCAAATACCAGCAACACTCTGTGTTTAGCACTAATTCGCAAATGTTAACATTATAAAATGCAAAGGCAAGGTGGCAAACTGTACACTTGCTAAACATGTATCAGCATGTTAACATTATCAGTGTGCGGAAGGCGTTAAAATGGCGATCAAGGCTGCAAAAGCAAACCTCCTTACATTTAGACTCTTTGATGATCCTTTCATGCTGGATGATCTCACTGATTCATCCATCCTTTTCAAAAGCAACATGTTTGTAGCAAATTTGCAATAACCTTAAGGCTGATTTGCAGTGAAGAAATTAGTTTTCCAGATCCTGCTGGATGTTATCACAACATTGCCAAAATTGGCAATGTTGTGATAACATCCAGCAGCAATAATAAGTTTGTCACTACTGGTACACAGGGTCCTGACGGTTTAACACCACAGACTGCCAGTAGTGCTAAACTTGTAGTAACAGATAATACATTTGCCATTTGTGGCAAACAACGTTTTTGAGTATCTCAAGGTACTTTGAGATACTATAAAAACTTTTAGTGTTGCCTTAAAACAAGAACATTGTGAGTTTGAATGTCAGCTGTTCTGTGCCTGCGTCATTTGCTCTGTGTGCTCCAGCTTCCTCCCACAGCTCGAAGACATGCATAAGTAGGTTAATTTGTGATTCTAAATTGGTCATACAAATGTGAGCATGAATATTTGTCATCCAGTGCTGGGATCGGCTCCTGCCCCCAGTGATCCTCTAAAGGATAAAGAGGGTATAGCTAATGGATTGGGACTGTTTGCCCTACATATTGAACAGAGATAGCCTGATGTCCACTGCAGCTTTAACCTGATTTACATATAAAAATGACCAACTTTGTGGTGACAGGGTCTAAGGTTGACCATAACTGTTTGCCAGAAACCTAAAATATCTGTAAAGATTGTAGCCCCATGGTCATAAGCAGTGTTATAAACAATCAAGCTTTTTTGTAAATGAGTAATTAAAATTTTGTGTTGGAAGTCAATAAGATCAGACCTTTGTTATGTTCTTTAGAAGCCTTAACCTCCTCTGTAAATTGCTGCGGAGCCAGGCTAATAAGGTTCTTTGTGCCTTCGGTTCTGGCTCAGTCACAAGAATGGGAATTTTAAGGAATCTTTTATATAAATCTTCATTCAAACAATTAAATGATTTTCAAGTTGAAAATTTCAACTCAAACATTTTTAAAGAGAAAGTAGTCATGCTCTGCAAACAAGCTTAGGGACTAAATGCTGTGGTATGTGGCACTGGTTCATGCCATATAGTGGAAATTAAACAAATAAAAGTTGGGATATTTATGAACAGAATTTAACTGAAAGACTCACTGTGCTTAAGTGCAACTGCATGTATTGAAAGAGTTGGATGTGGTGCTGTCACTGCCTTCCCACTTCTGTTTTCCAGTGGCTACTCACAGCATTAAAATCTCCTGTGGCCCAAAGATCATTTTCTACAAAGGCCACAGTTATAAAAGAGACACCTCCAGTGGCAAGCAAGGTCAGTTTTTACTCCCTGTATCATGGATTTTTAATTAATGAAGATTTTATATTTAGATTTTTATTTTATTTATTTTTTTATTTATTTTTACCAGAGCTGAGACAAGAGAGTTTTATTTGCACTATGTCACTACAATGAGAAGTCTATGGGCCAAGAGTGTGCAGGGGGCCAGTGAACATCAATGCATGTGCAGTTGGCATCCAACATGGAAGCAAACCAATCATGTATATGCAGATATAATTCATCCATATCCATCCTATATATGTTTCTCTCTTAAACCCAGAATGATACATCAGCTGTCATAGAGAGGGGTAAAACATGAAGTTTGTTAAAATGTGGAAATAACAGCATACACTGTCAGACAGAATGCGATGGAAGGCTTTCATAACTTTCTACACAAAATGCAACGGATACAGTTTTGCAGAGAACACAAAGGGAGCTTAAAAGCGATGCTGACAGGCTGCTTATCTTCTCTACAGTAAGTGGATTTTAATGTTGCATTGTTGGTTTCACAAAGGTACAGAAATGACTGGACACAATGTGCCTAATGCCAGGGTCAGGGAGGTGGAGGTGAAAGATTTCTAAAGCGGTCTGACCATTTGACCTACACTTCTGTTGACTCATGCTGACGTTTTTGATCTTGTTTGAAGCTGTAATCTCTTAAATGAACAGTTTGGGATTTTGAAAGGTTTCCATGACTTTGACCTTTGACCTCCTTAATATTGGTGGTAACAATGTTGTTGCAGCAGCAGTAATCTAAAATAACTAAATGTCAAGGCGAATGTACCATGTTACCATGGCAGCCAGAGATGACATTGTTAATGACATTGCTGATGACCTTGTTAATTAGGGAACTGATTGTGTCCTGTTAGGCAGCAGGACAGCAGTGCATTGTGGTTATGAGACACTGGTAATGCTGCAGCCTCATAACTCAGCATCTGACATCAAGGTGACACACATCTATCAGGGTCTCATATGAGAGATGGCACTGAGCCCAGACACAAGCGCGCAAACAACAGTTAGCCATATTGTTTGTGTCTTGAAGTCTGGCCAAAATCATGTACAACACAACAATTATAGTTCAGTGTGTAGGGATACATGAAGCTAAGAGGTAGAGG